TGAAATGCTGAAGTTCTCTTCCTTCAATCTCCCAGCGCCATGGTCCTTCCTGGGAAGACCAGGAGCACTCTGCTTTGTTTAATCAAGATAATTTCTCCACTAGAAATGTATCCTTGCCCCCTGGATCACAAGGGGACATCCACAGCGCCCAATCAGAACCCGCACGGAAGTTCTATAAAGCCGACTCGTCACCCTTCTCGGTAATGCCCAGCTCTTTTAGCAGAACCATCATATCCCCAGGATCCAAAGTGTCTACGCTGAAATCAGAGCCGAGTATTTTCTGAGAGTGAGCATCAACACGGAAACTGCCCCCTTCTTCAATGTTGGCAACAACGTTGAATCGTTTCCCTTCATCGATGCTGGAGGCAATAGTCAATCTTTTATTTTGCTAAATGAAGAGCCACCAGTGTTGTTATTTACTTTGAAAAAAGTGATTTCTCTCTCTTTCCCTCTCTCTTTTTAACCTAGTGGCTACCTTTGGTGGGGCAGTGACAAGGAGGGGTCAGGTATGGGACGGGGGTGGGGGAACAAGTAATGTTCTATTTCTTGACCTGGATGGTGTTACATGACTTGGAAAATTCACTGGGCTTTCTTTCACTAGTGTCAACGAAGAGCCCACAACCATGGCCTTAGAAGATAGAAATAAATACAAGGCATACAGAACATTATTAAATTCTAGGTTGATTGTGTTGACTCCTGATGTGAAACTCTGACCCTGAAGATTTCTCTTTCTCTGTTTAAGAAGAGAGAGTAGCAAAGGGTGGGTATGTGTTAAAAGACAAATTAGCACCAAGATGACTTTATCACTGAGCAATCAAGCACTAACAGGAGTCCAACACCTTCGAAAAAGCCTGCGGTCACCCTAGATGTCACCCGTAGAATGGGCCCATTCTTGTGGAAACAGGGCATTTTACCTACCGGGAAGCTTTGGTTTGTCACCAGGGACTCAAGTTTTTACAAGGGTTGTTAGGGGCCCCTTAGTTCTCTTCTTCTTGGGGGAAGGGTGATGGCTCTCTGGGCCATTACCAGATAAAGGATCAGAAAAACATAGGTGATCAGACAACTTAGATCAGCGGCGATGCAACAGAGAGGGTTTCAGATATAGAGACACCAGAACAAAACAGAAACTTACTGATCTGCTCTACTAACTTGAGCATCACCCCGCCAACGTGCAGGTCCCCGGACACTCGCAGGGTGACGTCTTTCTGCTCCTCTTCATCTGGATGGTCCACTCGGACCACGAGATCCCAAGAAGCAGATGCAAAGTCACTGGCTGAGAGCATCGTGGCAAATGCGGGTGTCTGCTGCACCGAAGGGCGGACAGAGATCAGAACACGAGGAGGAGACCCTGCAGAGCAAAACGTTTTTACGTTTATTTTTTTTTTATTTTGGCCTCATCTTGAAAAAAATCCGCGGCATTCTCAGTGCCCCAGATATTAAATCAGCATCTTAATTTTAAAGACAAGAAAGTATTATACAAAGGGTCTCAAGCCTTCTAAATTTGTCTTTCATTTCTCCCAAGACCACTGGGCTTTTCATTTTCTGTGCCTGCCCAATGTGTCAACCTTCATTTTCCCTCTCTACTGACTTTTCTTGATCTTCTCTGAACTATTCTAGCAGCAGGCAACAAATCATGGCAATCCTTGATGATACCTTTAAAAAGAATCCACTTTATTAAGTACAGTGGGGCCTTGACTTAGGAGTGTCCCGACTAACGAGTTTTTTGAGATACCAGCTGTCTCTCGGCTGATTTTTTGCATTGAGTTGATAGAGTAATTTGAGTTAACGAGCTCCTTAACGAGCTCAGTCTCGGAACGAATTAAACTCGTAAGTCAAGGCCCCACTGTATAATTCGCATACAATAAAACACACAGATTTTAATAGACCAAGGGGGGAGTGTCATTGCATAAAACACACAGATTTTAAATGTACCATTGAATACATTCTGTTGTAGGCAAATTATGCCTTAATAAAGCTGATTTTAAAAGAACGTCATTAAAATCTTTCTCTATCTGTAATATAATACATATGTATTATTATGTTCCTCATATAAATATTAATGACATCTTCCAGTATGAAAATTCAAAAACTAAAAATATAGCAAAATAGTGTCTATTTCAGCTAAGCAGTATCAAAACAGAAACGTCTCAAGGGGGTAATAGGAACACTGGAATCCAGACTTGGCAGAACTTAAAATATTAGCTCTCTGTTAGTTTTAGGTATGTTTTTATTGATTTTAGGAGAGAAGGAGGGAGAGGGAGAGGGAAAGAAACATCAACGATGAGAGAGAAACATCGATTAGCTGCCTCCTGCACATCCCTTACTGGGGATAGAGCCAGCAACCCAGGCATGTGCTCTGACCGGGAATCAAACCTATGACCTCTTGGTTCATGGGTTGACTGGCTCAACCACTGAGCCACACTGGCTGGGCTCTCTGTTACTTGTAAACAGAAAGCAAATGATAATATGTCTCCTGGCTATCTAAAGATTTTGAATCAAAATCAGTCATGTAAGTGATAACACATCTTTTTCACTTGGCTAGGTAAAGACAGCTTATGAGAAATCCATGTTTTCACAAGACCTATTAAAAAAACAAACAAACACATTGGTGCACTCAAATTCCTAAGAAAGGGCTGGTCAAACCGAAAGTGCCCATGAATTCCCCTCCAGATCTCATTAACACGCAGGTTCTATTCAGCAGGTCTCGGTGGACCCTGCATGCGTAACGAACTCCATGTGATACCAGCCTGTGGCTCACACTTTTGAGTTGAAACAGCCCAGTGAAACATTGGCTCCAGGGTTCAGTTCCTCCCTCCACCCACCCACATCCAGATCAAGCCAGGGACTATAGTGACTTCTGAGGAACACTATTTTTAATAATAAGCAATCATTAATCCACCAGGGTCATACCAGTTTGGTGTTTATTTGAAACTGTTCGTAATTGTAAGCCTCAGAGTATCTCAAAATGCACAAAATAGCTAAACATGCAATTCTGAATAGGCATAGGACAGATTTTATTTGTTTGAATCAATTCAAAAGTTCAGAAGTAGCTCCTGATTTTTTATGACCAGAAGGACGCCAGTGATGTAATAATGCTTGTCCCTTCCCGTGCACATCCGAGCATTTGCAGACCCCTTGCTGGGGCAGTGCCATGTCATGGGTATATCAGGCCTAACTATTCCCTTCCTCCTCATCAGCCTCAAGTATTGTTTATTATGTACTTACTGGGTGGTGTATTCTGTGTTAACTACTATTCTTGTGTTGTCTCCACCCTGTCAGCAATCCCGTTTAGAAACGAGGAAACCCAGGATCAGAGAGGCTAGGCAACTTGCCGGAAAGCACACAGCAAGTTAGATGGTAGAGAGAACACAGACAGAAATCTAGGTCTTTCTAACTTAAGAGTTTACTTAACCACCACACTGGGACACATCCTTGATACTGTTGCAACACCAATATGAAATAAAACTCTTAAGAACACGTGAGCTAAACTCTCTGTAGCCTTTAATAAGCATTTCTACTCCTGCAAATCTTTCCCAGTGAGGAGACAATAAAGATATCACCTTCACAGACAAACTCACAACAGGGCATTGAGCTGTTTGACTTTAACAGCTTTACAATTTCTCAAATGCTATGATTTGGAGTTTAGTTATTTAAAACGTTTTGTCCATAAAGAAAATAACCTGTCTTTGAAGGTGAGTCCATGAGCAATCATACATAAAGGTCTTTTCTTTCCTTACCTGGGCAATCAAAACACTTCTCCTTGAGGCAACAGATGGTGATTCCCTCACAACAAACCCAGGATAAAATTAGACAATCTGGTTTTCCCACATTCCTACCCTATCTTTCCGCGCCTTCATTTTTATTGAATTTCTCATCTGCAGCAAGCTGCTACTTGTTGAGCAGAGCAGCGAACTTCAGCCGTGAAAGGGCATCTTAGAGGCCAGAACAAGAAGCAAGGCCACCAGCAGAAATGCCTGCCTGGGGTGAATGAAGCCCGGCTGCCTACCTCCTCCTGTCCTTTCGAGAAAATGCAGGAACGAAAGTGAGACAGAGGGACAGGGGGGTGGACAGAAAAGGAGGAAATAAAGAAGGCAGACAGACTAGAAAACGGGACAAAGGATGATAGATTGATCATTAGACAGACAGATGATAGATTGATCGATAGGGAAAGAGCCTCCATGCTTCTTCCCCTGGAAGATCAGAGCGTGCGTTTCGGAAGGCCAGTCTTTTGTCAGTTCTGCAGGGTCCGGGGTCCCGGGTGGATAGTGGGTGGGTGGAAACCCGACCCTTACCCCCCATGCAGGCAGCACCCACGGCGGGACAGTTTACTTGGCGTGGCGCGCTGCGCAAGGCTGCAGAAGGTTGCCAATCGCCTAGGGCGTTCTTTTTAATTCAACAGCCATTTAAGTGAAAGCGAGCTGGAGAGAGTCAGGGGGCAGGGGTCTGAGGAATCGGCGTGGCCCACCTAAGCCTCCGCTCCCTACCGATCTTCCGCCCCCTCTAGCCCTAGCCCCTCGGCACCCACCTTCTTTCTCGGAGCCCGCGGCGTGCAGCCTCGCAGACCTGCACGCGGAGGGTTGCGCCCCTAGAGGCCAGGACGGAGGCCACCCAGGCGGAGTCGGGGGCGGGCTCCGGGGGCGCAAGGTAGCGGCTGCAGCTCGGCTGGGCTGCGGCGGGCGAGGGAGGCTCGTGGACGCCGGGCGAGGATGCACGGGACCTCCCGCCGAGGCGCGGCGCCCGCCCCCAGCCGGACGGCGGACGCGGCGAGCCGGAGTGCACAGTTCCCGCCCCGCGGCCTTCAGGGGCAACTGCGGGCCAGGGCCCCGGTTCGGCAGGCGAGGGCACGCTCGGGGGCCGGGGCCTGCTGGGTCTCCGTTCCCGGGAGAGGGGGGCGGGCCCCCGAGCCCTTTTTTAAGGGAAAAGGGGGGGTCAAGGGCCTGGTACCCGGCGGGGGGGCGGGGGCGTAGGGATCCAAAGGGGAACATGGCACACACGCTTACTCCCTGCACTGATCTTGCTACCTGAGAGCGCCTTCAGTTTTCCCGGTCCCCCAGGCGCCCTCCGGACGAGCACAGGTTATTAAAGCCCGGCTCCTTTTCCCCTGCCCTCCAGGTACAGCCATGGCTCACACTCGGGAACGCCCCGGCCCGGAGACTCCCAGCTCCGGGCTAGAAACTCCCCTTTACAGAGCCTGGAGGCCGGTGATCTCCGGGTGGGAGAAACGAAAGCGGTCCGTCTCTGAGTAAGAGGGTGATGTAACCCCCCGAGGTGGGTGAGGCGCCCAGAATCCGCACCATGGAAGACCCCGGGCACCCTAAGGGCACGCCCCACGCGGAAGTCTGGGCTGGCTCACCCCAGATTCACCACCCAGCCCGGCTGGCCACCTTCCTGTCGGATTCACTTCCCAAGGGAGCGGTGAAGGGTGGGTGACCTCGGGGAATTTACACAACCTCTCCACGCCTTCTTCGTTCATATTACACACATTTGTTGAGTGTTTATTTTGGGCCAGGCCTTGAGCTGAGCTCAGGGGATACGCTGTTTACAAAGCAGACATGGAAATTACAGTGAACTCATCTGTAAAATGGGCGGAGGGATGGACTATGGAGAATTTCATGCAGCATAACACAGGCTTTAGCGATTCGCATCAAGTACATACAGCCTGTGACAACGTAAATACGAATTTAAAATGTGGTGGAATTTAGAATTGGAATCCTTATTTTTGCTTGTACATCATCATATTTAGTCATTGTTGTAGTTTTGAAAGTATTTTACAAGGTCATTTGAACACTTGTCAGCACATAATGAAAATCTTAGAACTGAATTTCCTAATTTGGTGGAAAATTCTCAACTCTGGGAATGGGGTCAATTGTCATCTGGTCCCACAACTGTCATCTGGTCCCAGTCTCTACATGCTCAACACCGACGTAACAAATACGCTCTTATCCTGAGCATAAAGAGTCTAAAGGTTTACTTTCTGGAGACTGCTCATGGCTGAATGGAACATGGACTGTCTTCAAGATCTTATGTGTGGTCTTGAAGTAGTAATGGCTTTATTTACATCAAAATGGTTTCTCATTTTAGTTGAAAATATCTGGGTTGTGCTAAAGAATTTAACTGGTTTTAAGTTTTTGCTTGGCTGAGGTTTTTAAAAAGCTTTTAATTGAAATAGTATATATATATTTATTATATATTATACATTTATTATATATGTGAAAGAGCACATATTATGAATATACAGCTGATGAATTTTCATATAATGAACAAATTTGTGTATTGTTTTTAAAGTGTTTAATTGAAATATATGTATTCATTATATATTATACTAGAGGCCCAGTGCATGAAATTCGTGCACAGGAGGGAGAGTCCCTCAGCCCGGCCTTCACCCTCTTGCAATCTGGGACCCCTCAGGGGATGTCCGGCAGTCAGACATCCCTCTTGCAATCTGGGACTGCTGGCTTCTAACTGCTCGCCTGCCTGCATGATCGCCCCTAACCACTCACCTGCCTGCCTGGTCACCCCTAACCACTCTGCCTGCCTGCCTCATCGCCCCCAACCACTTGCCTGCCTGCCTGTCTCATCGCCCCTAACTGCTGGCCTGCCTGCCTCATCGCCCCTAACCGCCTCTACCTCAGCCCCCGCCACCACGGCTTTGTCCAGAAGGTTGTCTGGAATGATGTCCGAAAGGTCGTTTGGCTGTCTGGTCTAATTAGCATAATTTGCTTTTATTATTATAGATATTTATTTATGAAAGAGCACAAATCATGAATATACAGCTGATGCATTTTCACAAACTGTGTATTGAGTATCCAGATCAAGACACAGGACATTACCCGTCCCCAGAAGTCTCCTAGTTCCTCTTCCAGTTACTGCCAACCCCCACCAAGAGTAACCGTCATCTTGACTTCTAACTCCCTAAAAGGGTTTTGCCAGTCTTTGTGCCATATATAAATGCAGTCGGATGATGTGTACTATTTTGCGTCTGGTTTCTTTTGTTCAACGTTATGTTTTTGAGTTTCATCCATATTGTGTGTTCTTGGATTTTTTTTTTTTAACTTACTACCTGTGAAACAGGTACAACCCATCCATTTCCTAAGGTCCCAGGTTAGAAGTGGATTAAGAAGTGTATTCTGGACTTCACAATTTCATATATACATAAACAAGCCATCCTCATCTTTTCTTCCTCTTAAAAAACAAGTACAACCAACACTTTGAGTCAGTTATTTAATCTACACATATAAATCAAACAATGAATTAGCTTATTTATTCATTCAGCCATTATGTTCCTGTGAAATAGACACCATAATATGCACCGAAAATATTCAGATGAACTAGCACAGAGTTTATCTTCAGGTCATAACTCTGATGCTGCGGAACTCAGAGGAGGGCCATCTTCTTTCTGCAGGTGTGCGGAGTGGTGAGGAGTATGACAAAAGGCTTCAGAAAGGAGGTGATTAAAAAAAATGAACCTTATTTATTTATTTATTTAGAGGAGGGGAGAGGGATAGGGAAATAGAAACATCGATGGAAGAGGAACATGATTGATTGGCTGCCTCCTGCACACACCCCTACTGGGGATTGAGCCCACAACCAGGGTATGTGCCCTGACCCAAATCAAACCGGTGACCTCTTGGTTCCTGGGTCGATGCTCAACTGCTGAGCCACACCAGCAGGGCAAGGAGGTGATTTTTGAGATGGAATTTGAAGCGTTGGCGTAGAGCTTGATAGTTGCCTGTAACAACCTGTAGAAAACTGTTAGGTATTTTTTAGTTAGCAGATAGTTATTGCGTCTCAGTTAGCAGAGGTGGAGGATAAAGAGGAGCTATATCTCTTGACCTCAAAGTTTTACATGTGCAAATATTAAAACAATAACTATTATCAGATACCCATATCCTGAAAAACTGACCTAATAGTATCCTCAGAAGATAAGTTAGTCATGTTTGCATTATCATATGGGATGTGAGTAGACTGGGCTGGACAAGAGATATGGCCATGTTCTTTATTCACTGGACAGAAAGGAGAAATAGACAAGTAGAGGGACTGAAAGTCCCAGTTACTTTAACTTGTTAAACACAAGCGACTTCCTTCCTATAACACCTTCCACTTCCACTGGATGCACCCTCAGAATTTAAAAAATTCTACATTAGAGAGAATGAAAAAGCTTCTGGGAGGAAAAAGAGGAGGAGTTTTTTTTTTTTTAATTGATGTTATTATTTGACAAAGCAGCATTATCCGCTGTAAGTTTTTAAATTGAGTATTTAGCTTATAAACATACTGAAAGTCTGGCAACTAAGAAATGGCAACGCTTGTGTTTATGGAGAACATGTTGCGTTCAGTGCAAAGAAGCAGAATGTGCCTATTATAGCTACACCCTCCTTTCCAGCTGGGTGGATAACAAGCACTTTCTATGCCCAGGCAAGTTCTATAATTTTCTTCTTGCGAGGGTGGAGAGGGTGTGTCCTGATGTATCTATCCGCACTAGATGAAGAAGGGAGAGGAAGAGCAAAGAAAAGTAAGAAGGCCTTGCTGGAGGCCATGGTGCTGGAGTCTCCATTGAGAATGAGTGGAGCAAGAAAAATGGTCCCTCTCTCCCCCCTTTCTCTTTCTTTCCTTTGCATCCATCTCCATCAAAGGGCACAAAGGATTATATAGGATATATACACTGACAAGTCTCCCACCTCTCTTGATTATAAAGTTTCCTTTCTTGGAGAAAGCTGTCACCAGTTTCCTCTGGAACCTCCCAGAGGTAGTTTATGCATATAGGCTAATTATGCAGGTGATAGTATTTTATAGATACTGTTTTGCCTTTCGCTTTTCTCACTTTAAAATATCTTGGCAATTGTAGTGGATGTCAGTCATATTTGTGGCTTCCTACTATCCTTGGAAAGTCCCAGTCTGAAATCAGAACTCCAATTCCCAAGATTTCTTATAGCCAGGACACGGGCCTACCTCCTAGACTTTGTCGCTTAGATACACGCAGGCACAGCTTTAATTTGGAAGTGAACAAAATGTGGAGAGAGGATGTACTTGAAGTTTCTATCCAATAATCATAGGCAAGAATCACTGATAAATTTTAAAATTAGTGAGTAAAAATATGATGAGAAAAAGCATATTTGTAGCCTCAAAATATCTCCCTGCAAAGTATTTGTCAATTACACAGGGAAAGATAGTAACATGAGAGTGGAGAAAAATGCAGATATCACCTTAATCAAGTGATCAAAATGAACATACATCATCTGGAATAATGCATATTGACTTCACACACCTTCTGATATGATGCACTGAGAAGGGCAATAGCATCATTTCCATGTTGTTCCTGCCCAAATTACATAAACCTCAATTTAATCTTAAGCAAGTATCAGACAAACTTATATTGGAGAACATCCTATATAATAAAAGCCTAATATACTAAGTGTCCGACTGATTGTTTGACTGTTCAACCAGTCGCTGTGTTGCACACTGACCACCAGGGGTCAGACACTCTGACTGGTAGGTTAGCTTGCTGCTGGGGTTTGGTCTATCAGGACTGGGTGAGACGAGCCCAACGTGCCCTGGAGCCCTACTGTGATCCCTCCCCAGCCTCTAAAGTATTTCTTCTAATTAATTTCCTTTCAATGTGCACGAATCTGTGCACCGGGCCTCTAGTTCTACAAAATAAATTGCTAATACTCGTCTGAAGTGTCAAGGTCATGAGAGACAGAAAAACTGAGGTACTGTCTCAGATCAGAGGAGACTAAAGAGACATGACAACTAAATGCCATGTGAGATCCTGGACTGAATACTGGAACAGAGAAAGGACTTCAGTGGGAAAGCCTGTGAAATTTGAATAAGGCAGTAAATTAGTTAACAGTATTGTATTAACACTAATTTCCTGGTTTCTATCATTGTATTGTGGTTATGTATGATGTTAACAAGAGGAAGCTGGGTGTAGATTCTTTGTGTATGATTTTTGCAATTTTTCTGTAAGTTTAAAATTATTTAAAACAGGAGGTTGGGAAGGAGGGGGAAGGGGAAGGAAGGGAATAGGAGCATGTCCTAATCCTGAAGCAGCTCACCAAGAAGGTAAGGAGGATTGGAGCCAGCCATGACTCTCCAATGAGTGGAGGGAGGGAAGACCATGTATAGCCGATTGTTCTTGTAACCCACATTTTTCAAACTGGATGGGCACCATGTCTGCTATTCTTACCTCTGGCAATGACTAAACATGATGTTTTAAGTTTGGAGATTGATGAATCTGTGTTCACCTGCTGCTACTGCTGACACTTAATAGAGGGCTTGGGCATGTTTTAGTTTGGTTTTGGTTCTATAAAGTAGGAATAATAACACCCACCTCATAAGGTTCCGTGAAATGAGACAATGTTTGTAAAGCTCTGAGGACAGAGCTTGACACATGGTAAATGTTCAGTAAATACTAGGGTAATAAATACATAAGAAAGAGTGGGAGTAATCTCATCTGATAGAGAGGAGGAATTAGAGACTCCTAGAATGTTGCATCTCACGACAGGGAGGTAGAACTGTGCTCACCTGTCCTCCTATCTTGCTCACAGGTAAGGGAGAGTAACCCATAGGAATTTATTTACTTTCTCAAAATGCACCACAGGGAAATGTGACAGTCTATACCCAGGTTAGTGGGAAAAAAGAACATGTTAAGTGACTTCCTTTTAAAAAATCCAGAATGCTGAGAGTGATAATGGTTATATTCCTTTATTTTTCTAAATCTAACTTAGTCTATTGATTTTTGGTTAAAGGTGGTTGGCCAGCTACTCATATTTACCTCTTCTCTCTAATTGAGTTCCTGATAAAAATAATAGTATAGGAATAAAAGTGTATAAACTTGCAATGACAAAGGTAACAGGAGAAAAGCCATCAGCGATTAGAGATTTCAAGAATTTTCTAGAAGCTAGAAAATTGAACAAGGAGTGGTTAGTAATGAAGCAGGACAGTGAAATTCATAGTCTAGGAGTATGTGAAAATGGGGATGTAACTGAGGCTTTCTAGAATATTCTCAAAGAAACTCAGTTCTTGAAAATGCCAGGTAAGACAGAAAGTGGAAGTGAGCTGTGTTGTCAAAAATAATGGAATGGATAGAGAGTCTTTATGCAGAACACAATCCTGCCACCCCCCAATCACATGTAGGGGGAGTGTGTAGCTGCCTCCACCCAACTAGCTAAAATTCAGAGGACTCTACTCTGTAGAAGTTAAATTTTTCCTTTGAAAAGGCAACTTTAATATAAAGGCCAACTCACCACCCAGTTACCCTAAAGCAAAGCTTATCAGTGACACCTTGGACACTGAACTCCCAAACAAATTTTTTTAAAAAAGAACAACTCCTCATTGTCAAACAGTTGAAGAAATTTTCCACTATGTGAGGCAAAATTAAAAACAATTATGTTTCCAGTTTTATTGAGATATAATTGACAGGCAAAATTTAATATAGAAGAAAATGAGTTAAAAAGTTAAGAAACCTAGAGGATCAATATAAGAGAAAAGCAAAAATAGAGTGGAATAAATTATCACAGAAATATGAAAAACCACCTAGATGAGGAACATGAATCTCCAGTTTAAAGAGTCATTTAATATTCACCCGGTGAATAAGAAATAGCTACCCCAAAGTACAGCATTGTGAAATGTAAGATCACCATAGAAAAATAACAAATCCAAATGCTTTAAGTAAGAAAAAAAGGTTGCTCCAAAGGAACCCAAATCTACATTCTATACCCAGCAAGACTAACAACTAAGATATCTTCAGACATGCTAGGGCTCAGAAATTTAATCCTTATGTATCCTGTTTTAGAAACATTCTCAATGATGATCTGTGAAGCAAGTGGCCGTAAAAAAGGAAGTATAACTTTTTCAAGTTCAAAAATTAATAAGTAACCAAAGCAAATAAGACTAATTATGGTTATGAGACTGAAAGCAAACATTGTGAATGTGGTATAACAGGAAAGATGTTTGTCTTCTTCCGGTTCCTGAC